TTGGTTATTTTATGACAATATCTCCCATATTTCGGTGGACCCATGTTGATGCCTTAAGGATCTGACACACGTCATTGAGGTGAAATAAAGTGTCCTAGTAACAAACCCCCAATCTCCTAAAAGTAGAACAGAGCTCAATTACACTACATGTGAAAGCTGTATTCTTTTAATTCCTCGTCAAGGTCAATACTAGTCAGACAAAATTGATACAAGTTTGATTTAAGGGTAGAGAGGAGAGAGAGGGCGAAATGTAGATCATATTATCTTAATAACACAAAGATTTCCTTTTTATTTCAATAATTTACTTTGGAAAGATACCTTAACATTCTCTTCCCTCTTCTTTAATAACCCAACCTCACAGCGCGTAATATTCATTGAATTTTGAAAGCAAACACCCTTGTAACTTTCCAGCTAACCTTTTAAGATCTAGTATATGGAACATTATTTACTCTACATTGTTTTTTTCATGGTGGTTCTGCGTTATTAACATCATATACAATGCATCTGCAGGTTAAGGGGAAGGCAGCTATTGATGTTGTTTGCAACCCACTTGGAAAGTCAGGAGGTGCTCTAATCCAGCAGTTCATGATCTTGACCTTTGGTTCACTAGCCAACTCAACCCCATATCTTGGAGGAATTCTGTTGCTAATTGTAACCGCATGGTTAGCAGCAGCCAGGTCATTGGACAAACAGTTCACTGAGTTGCGTAAGGAGGAGGACCTCGAAAAAGAGATGGAGAGAGCTGCTGTTAAGATCCCAGTTGTGGCTGAGAACAGCAGCGAAAACGGTTCCCTCAGCAGTGGGTCCGATTTGAATCCAACAGTTGGTGACTTGCCAGGAAGTTCATCTGAGAGGCTCAAGTCCCAGTAAGATTATAGTTATTTATTAGCTCTATAATTTATCAATGCAAAAAACACAAGAAAGAAGAAAGAGTTTGTTTGGTTGTAGAATTTGTAATAGAAAGTGAATATCTGAAAATAATCCTACCAGCTGGAAATGCTGAGATTGCCTCAAGGAGGCGCTCATGTTTGTTGAATTATAGGTAGTTAGATAGATTGGCTGGATTAAGGTGGTTAAAATTGAAGCTCCTAAAATGCTGGCCTTCGCCGCAGTGTAGAAGATTTTGGTGTATTTGATAATTTGATGACTACATCCTATTTTGCCCTTTAAGGATGAATATCTGCTCATGCTTTTATAAATCTGGTCAGTTTTTGTGCACATCATTAGTTCATGATTCATTATTTTTTTTGACATTCATCTTTACATTGAAAGCAGAGCTCAACTTGGGTCAGTTTCTTGTGACATTTGTACATGAATATGTTTGCTTCATTAGAAGATCAAGGTGAAACTAAGTAGTCATAACATTTATAGCAACGGCGACAGAAACAGTCCGTGATGCATAATACTACCATTTGATGGCAACATCATCTTATTTAACGAACAACATTATCCGCTCCTTTTAGTTGAGACTAGTTTTGTTGCTTTCAATCTTTCATCAGGGAACAAGTTTTTTCGAACAAATCTTCTAGGGGGGTATAGAAATATTGAAGAACGATTAATGACAAAAAGTGCGTCTTAACATACATGAAGCGAACATGTTCATGTCATGTACAATCGTCACAAGACGCTGACCCAGTTGAGCTGTTCTAGTAACAGCTACACTACATTGTAGAGGGATCCTTGTTTTCATCAAAACAACACTGGTTTAGCTAGCCTGAGAGTTGACACGCGGTTGGGGCGGCTAAGGCAGATTGGTATCGTGGCTAGATTCTCACTTTCTTAGGTAGATTGGGGTGTTTCATGTTTGTTGTTAGCCGGAGAAGATGGTGTAGGAAGACAAGATTTTTTTTTTAATTTTTTTTTTTAATTTGCCTACGAAACCAACAGTGTAAGAAAAAGGATTTTAACAACTAAACAATGGAGAATTGGAAATTCATTTTCCTAGAAAATGTTTTCTATTAAAACAAATGGAGCCTAAATCTACTCTTTTTTTTTTCAATTCTGTAATTGCTATAGAGTAGTAAAAAATTAAAAATGTACATTGAATAGTTACTTTGATTAGCTAATTCTGAATGTTAATAGCTAGTAAAACTTTTGACAATATAAACAATCTATAGCTTGCACTCATAAATTAGATCCAAGTTTTGATGTTATTTTCAAGATTTTTGGGAACTTTTTCTTGCCTTTGTAATTTTGCAACTTTTTGATCCCTTGGATTTTAATCTGCTTGTCTTCAATTTTTGATACTAGTATATTTAGTTCATCTTGCGGTTTTAATTGTTTCCCCCGCCTCAATTTTTCCAGATGTTTCAATTATTATTGTCTTGTTTGATAGACAATGTTTTGTCAATTTTTATTTTGTTTTCTGACTTTAGTTTTGGACAACTTTATTTTGCTATCTTTGGCTTCTTGTCATTTGATTATGTTTGTTTTAATATACATTTTTATCAACTAGCTTATTTGTAGTTGGGGAGGGAGTTGGATTTTACTATTAATTTAATTTTAATTTGCATTTCCTAGCAATTTGTTGAAGATGAGAAGCCACATAGTGTGAATAACCGCCGTTTGTACCTTATTGTGCTCCGGCTTGCTCTACCTTCCTCGCCATTTCAAAGTCCCTAGTGTAGACATAGACAAGGGGCTTTGAAACGGCGAGAAAGGTAGAGCAAGCCATTCTTGATGCTTTGTGTCCTTAGCTTGGTGGTCTTCACCCACTTCGTCATTGGGGTGGTACCCTATGTCGACAACTTCATTTTCTTTTTATTTTTTGCAATCAACATTTTCCTTTTTCTTATACTTGTGACCTTTGGTTTTTTCCCTAATTAGATAGGAAACTCACTACTTAAATTTGGTTATTTTCTTGTAATAATGAGATCACTAGCAATTGCGTACTTTTCCTCATTTAAAAAAATAAAATTAAAGTGCTAATTTTTGATAAACTTGCTAAAGACCTTAGGGTGTTAACCACACTCTCCATGAGAGAATCTAGAGCATAAGCATGACCTAGGAACTACTATATGATCTTTATGCCTCTTTCCAAATCCCAAGTGAAAAACGAGCTTAATGAATAGTAAATTAGAATGTCATAAAAAAGATATCTAGTCCTTTCTATTGTATTATTAGTATACTAGTCAACTACAATAATACAAAAAAATACAAAATTTCTTTTGTCATACTTTATGTTTCCCTTCCAAAACAAAATAATACAACAAAATATAATAAAAAATGAATTCTATCATCATGAGCTTTGTTTTTAGGCATGATTATGAATTTATGATCCATTAATACCCTGGAGCATCATTAGGTACTAATCTTTGTTAAGTACATTATACTTCGTATTTCTTTTGTTTTTTTTTTTTAATCACAACATTAGCTTATCTCCTTTCTCTCTTAAAATAACGTGCATCCCTTCCACAATCCACATTGCAATTAAAAGAGAATGGAGAAAGCTTTCCATTTAATGAGTGATTAGATTATATTTGTCCAAAATGAAACCATACCATTGTACCTCATTATAGACCCAATAAAATCAAAAAGTCAACTACAATAATAGAATACTTTCACGAGACTTATTATTATTTCTTCACGGGGGATCCAAAGCCTAAATTTGCCAGATTATTAAAGATAGATAACTAGTCCTATCTATTTCCAGATTGATTAAGCATAAGTTACCTTGTAATTTGTCTTTATGTTATGTGAACATGGAAGATACAGTACTCTGTATTTGATCATTTGAGTTTAGGTTGAATTGACTAGTAAGTCCCACTAGCTTACATTGTTACATATATTTAGCTACCTGCTTTTTTTTTTTTCCATATACTATACAATCTTGTCATAGAGCGTTTTGTAAATCAACAAAGTAACTCTTATAATACTGATCGAGTAACCTTGTAACACTTAAGCCCTATAACACTAAAGAAGTAACCCCTGCAATATTGATCGATTAACCATTATAACACTAACGAAGTAACTCCCATAATGACTGGTTACACGATGTGGCCAGCTCCATATAAAAGTTGGTGATTAACCAAATGTCATTGGTGCAGTCAATTAAGGTTTCTCACTTTTGAGTATTGTGACCTTGACATTAGTAGTCTAAATCGTGTAATTTTTAAGCACTTAATTGGGGGTAGGAAATTTGGGATTTCCCTTACCTTTGCTTTCTACTCCCAAATACCTAGGCTCTAATCGGGTCGGGATCAAGTAGTTATTTTGTCAAACATTAACACAACCATAATTTAATGGATATCTCAATCATTTGTCAATTGCTTTATGGGATAATTATTTGTAGTCAAGTTAACTATACCAACAAAAGCCATGGAGTTGCCCATGGACTGTCAATTGATTGAATGAATGACCCCCATTTTATTTAGACCCATTTATGCTCTAATAATTAGGGCCCATTGTACCTAAGATTCAACATCGGTAATTGCACAACATGTACGAAGTTTTGGTCCTTATAACTTGGCCCCTTGGCTCTAAGACACAATAGATTAGGGGACCATAATAATGACCGCAATAACTTACAAGATATGCGATCAAATTTTATCTTCTACCTCCGTTAATGGTTATATGTAACTTTGGAATTTTTTATATCTCACAAATAATACCCCAAAGTTGCAAATAACCATTAACGGAGGAAGTATATATCACCGTTTTAGATAACTATACATAACAAAAATAACTTCCACCGTTAAAAAATTGGAATATTGATTTACATTGGAGTTCACGTGAATCCATAATTAGACAGCATAGAAATGTTGGCGTTATGTCAATCATCCCTAGTCCCCACTAAACGTTTCATTATCAAAGGGTTTGGAATTTTAGAGAAAAAACATCACTCACATTATCTTTTTGTGCAACAACTTTCTAATTTTCCCACACAAAGTGATGGGAAGGAAGAAAGATAAGAATATAATGAGGTAATTTCTTAATAAAGAGCCCAAAAATATGACAAATAACAATGAATGCAATATTCTCCATATCTATTTCTTACTTAGTATTACAAAGAACAAATTAAAAGCTCTAAACTCTATACAAAATAAACCCTTATTTGGATAATGACTTGAAGGCAGGGTAGGCATCTTACATTGTCTTTTCTTTCTTATCCTTGTTGAGCTCTCCTTTATCACCCATCCTCCTCACCTAATTCATTCCATGAATACCCATGTGGATTTTATACAATATGTGTACTTTTTGAGGGGTATAATCGTCTTTTCACTCCTTCGAAACTTGTAACCATTATGTGCTATATAGTAGTCTAGTTATTTCTTTCTTTTATGTTACATATTAGTAACACACACCATATAGTAGAGGCCAAACAATGAATAATAGGGTCACCTTGTTGAAAACCTCTGCAGGCAAGCCACCGCAGTTAGTGGGTGAGCAATGGCTAGATGATGCTTGCATTCTTGACATGGACTACTTTGTCAAGACACTTTCCGGTATAAAGTCTAAGGGGGTACGCCCTGACCTTGTTGGCTCGATCATTGCTCACTACGCGTCTAAGTGGGTTCCTGAACTATCTGAGAGTAGGGATGTCACGATACTTGAGGGGGACGACCCATCAGCCTCCCCTGAGTCCGTGACATCCGCTTGGAGGAAGAAGCGGTTCTTCGTGGAAACACTTGTAGGGATCCTCCCCCCAGAGAATGACACTGTCCCATGTAACTTCCTACTAAGGCTACTAAGGGTGGCTAACATGGTAGGAGTTGAGCTCACCTATAAAGAAGAGCTAGAAAAAAGGGTGTCATGGCAATTAGACCAAGCTACATTGAAGGAAATAATGATACCTTCTTTTAGTCACACTTGTAGTACATTGCTTGATGTGGAGTTAGTCATGAGGTTAGTAGAGAGGTTTGTGGGATTAGATGAAGGTTTTAAGAGTAGCGCGGCCTTAATTAAGGTGGCAAAGCTAATGGACTCGTACTTAGCTGAAGTCGCGATGGACTCAAATTTGAAGTTGGAGGAGTTCATTCAACTTGCTGGTGCTCTCCCTGCCCATGCTAGAGCCATAGATGATGGACTCTATCGCGCTGTTGATACTTATCTCAAGGTAACCTTTCATAGCTCCCGTTTTGTGTTTTTGTGTATTAGTACGGAATACTAGCCTTTGTTTTTGTCCTCTCATTTATGTTTTAATTATCTCATTTCTCCCTTCTTTGTTTACTTCAGTAAAATTTCCTGTCTTATTTACGAGTACATGTTTTTAATATAATGCAATCATTTTTCCATCAACAGATGTTAGCAGTTTCAGGCTGTACATAGTTTCTAATACATATTTCGACCCTTAGCTTTCTAATAAAAGTTTATACTAGTATAATCAATATAATGTCTCATATATGACAACCAGACGCGTACTTAGGCAAGTTATAAGCATGATTTAGTATATGGTTGTCGGTTGATGTATAGATATAGTGGTACGAAAGACAGCAAAATTAATCAGTAATCTTTATGGTGTGTCCTACAAGTGAAAACGCCATGACATAATTTTGTGGGGAGGGAATAGTAGAAGAGCCAAAACTATATTGCCTGTTAGTCTGTTACTACTGAAACAGAATCTTTTCTGATTAAAAAGACTCCAATTTTCGAATACTGTATTACAACTTTGCAAGTAGTGCTGTTTTTGGTCTCTTCTGAATGATATACATATTGTTTCAAAGTTATCAGACATTTTTTGTGGGTGTATAGGCACATTCTAAGGTGACAAAGCAAGAAAGGAAGCTTCTATGCAGATTGATTGATTGTCGAAAACTCTCTCCAGAAGCATGCCTACATGCTTCACAGAACGAAAGATTGCCTGTACGAGCAGTAGTGCAAGTCCTGTTTACAGAACAGAACAAGATTTCCCGGCAGCTGGATTGGAGTGGCCCTTTATCTATGGCTAGAAGCCCAAACTCTAATAGGCACGATGCACCAGGCCGATGCCAGTCAAAACGGGAGGTTTCAGTCCAGCATATGGAGATCAAGAGGTTAAAGGAGGATGTTGTCAGACTTCAGAACCAGATAAACAACCTGCAGAATCAGTTGGAAAAAGTGGTTGAAAAGAAGAAGGGGTTCTTTAGATGGAAGAAATTCATTTTAATTTCTGGTTCGACTAGTGTTACTGATGTCGGAAAGAGAGATTTTGAGGAAGTCGGGTTTGGAAGGCATACCCCTCTTACCAAGGGCAAAGCTTCACACAGATGGAGGAAGTCTCTATCGTGATTAATTCTCATTTCTTTACTCTATAATACGAAGTATGTTTTTTTAATTTACCAAAAGCTTAATAACACTGATTTATAATTTGGTTTTACTCGTTGATCTGTAATACATAAGTCGTTCTTGTGCAGTAGCCTACAAGTCTTCCTGTAGATGTGTAGAAGCAAATGTTAAAAGTTCGGATACATCTATCAAGTACTTAAAATGTATGCCATTAAGAAGCAAAGTCAAGTAATAAGTTCTTCTATGTTATTAACAACAAGCTGTTATTCTATATATCAGTCTGAAAAACAAACTGACAAAGAAATAAGTTCACACACAAATGAATTATCAACCTCAACAAACAAAAAGAATATGGAAATAATTTACATTCCGAAATTTACAACTTAAATTTTGACAGCCTTCTTGATGGATTTGATGGATGATTTGAGGAAGTTGTCACCAGCTGAATGATTCTCATCAATATGATTATAATCTTCATCATCGTCAACAACGAGTGGCTTCTTTCTTATGCAATCCACCCCCTTTCTCATATTTAATATCTTTGACGGAGAAGATGGGAGTTGCCTGAAGAACCTCGCGCTTTCAGTCCTAGCAATCCCTTTATCTTTCCCTCCTCCAAAACTCTTCTTTGCTTCACTCTCAGTCTCAGAAGAAATGGATCTCCTTGCTCCCAAACTCTTCCTTGCTTCACTTCCTTTGCTAGTAATATCGGTCTGATATGAAATGGATCTTCTTGGAGTGCTCATTGCCCTTGGCTTTTTTGCTTCAGCTGAAACAATTTCTTCCTTCTTTTTTACATTCTTTGTTTCATGGCTTCTTGGCTCAACTGAAATGGATCTCCTAGGAGTGCTCATTGATCTCGGCTTACTGGTTTCAACCTCTACACTCTTCTTCTTTTCATCAGAAACTGGAGGTTTCAGGACTTTTATCTCCTTCTGAGGGAATTTTTTCATTGAGCTTTTTGATGATTTCATCAGTATTGCTAGTCTCGGGTTCTTGAGCTACTTTTGGAGGGCTAAAATTCACATTATCTTCGCCTTCTGTATTTTCCAGCAGCAAATGCAACCACTTCTCTACATTGCCTTTCCCTCTCTCCTTCCTCGATTCCTCATCATCATCATCTACTTCTGCTTCTCGAGCAAATGGGAATTTGACACTTAACTCCTCTACATTATGACCTATTTCCTCCTCTTCTATCTCGGGGTCTAATGTAAGTTTTGGTGTCTCTTCTGTTTCTTCTTCTATTCTGTTTTCTTCAATCATCAAAAGGGCTTCTTCTGACAAGTTGTGTTCTTCTTCTAGGAACTTCCTGAGCTCCTTGTGTGAAGGTGTTTTAGACTTGATCCTCGGCAAGTAGATTAGAGTTCGGTCTTCTTTCTCCTCAGCAAAAGCATCATCAATATCTGTCCTTGATCTCTTCCTTGTTTGTTCCCACTCTGGCTTTATTTGTTTCTCAAGTTCATCCCTTTGCTTAAACTTTTTAGCAAGCTGTTTCTCAGCCGAGTTACATATTGCCATTTGCGCTTCAAGTCTTGCCATGAGTGTGTTCGTTGCAGCCTGGTTTAGCCTCACCTGTTCTTTGTAAACCACACTCCTACAAAAATTCATAAATAAAATGAATTAGAATTTAGGATTACAAGCAAAAAAGTTCCGAAAATTCCCAACAAATATGCAACAAACAAAAGAGGGAAAGGCCTTACTGATGCATTGCATTTCTGATCATTTTCTCCAGCATTGTTCTGTAAGAAGATTGAGCCTCGGCCACCCTACGACATTTTTCAGCTCGTCTTCTACGTTTAATCAATGCTAACTCAAGCTCTTGAATTGTCATCTTTTCTTTCTCATTCTTTAGCTTCAATTCAGTCACTTCATCATCCAACCTTTGAATTTCTGCCTTCATCTTATTAGTCTCTTCTCTTCGCTTCAACGAATCTCTTGCCATAACCAAGGCTTGGTAAGGGTTCGTAGCCATGTCAGGCATCTCATTCTCCTTCGACCCAGCATTTTTCAATTTCCTCGAAGGAGCTATCATTAGACATAAACAAGTTACACACAACAGATAAACAAGACCCAAAAAAAAAAAAGTTAGTTGATTTTGCGCCAAGTTTTTACCTATCATAGGAGTAGTAGGCCTATGCTGTCTATTGACCTCTAATGTTCTCAAAGTTGAATCAACAAATTCTTTTCGAGCAAGAACAACAACAGCAGCAGGCGCTAGGCCAAGCTGCTCTTTCGACACCATAAATGGTTGAGGAAAATTATGAGAGTCTACAGTTTGCAAATCATTCAGCTCTTCATTCTCACCTGCTGCAAACATCCATCTAAATGCCCTTTGCCTACCAAAACATATTACCACCATATAATAAGATTATAAACACTATTATCATATCCTAGTCCAAAAATCTGAAATTTAAATCACAGGAAAAAGGAATAAGCTAAAATCTATTCACCTAAAATCCGAATTCGATGCAGCAAAGATGGATAAAAACTGGTCAATAGATATGCCCAACTGCAAATCCCACCAAGGTACTAAAAATTCCAACTGATTGTGCTTCCTCTTGCGAACTTGCCATTGAAGTATCCTTAAATTGCTTGGTACAGTCAATCCTCCTCCTACATTTTTTAGCACAATATATCATACAATATATAGTATTTTTTGTTAATAAAATTGGAATGTACACATAAGTAGAAGATGTGTTCTGTACTTGAACAAGGGAACCAATGATCGATATCCCAAGCGAGTGGGGAGGCGGCATCAGCATGAAGGTAGATGACATTGCCATAAGGATCAACCCGAAACATGGCCGGATCAAAGCCGGCATTTCTAAGAACAATTACCACAAAAAAACAACATAAGCATTAGTTAAATATCTTGAAATTGTGGTTAATTTAGTTGAAGAAAGAGTAAAAGTTATTGGTAGAAGGGTTATTACCCTAGGTGGTTGAGTTGCTTCCATATAATACTAACAAAGATTCTGTAGTTGGCTGTTGGTTTCGCTTGTGGGTCGATTATAGGAAACAAATCATCTAATTCCTCTGCCCTTGATGCCTAAATAAACAGATTATATAGCCTTAATTAATTAAGCATCCAAAAAATCACCAATGTTCAGGAAGAAAAGAGCATACATTTACATCATATAATCATGAACCTCTACATAATTCTCATATTGCGAGTTCAAGTTACACTATTAGCGCGACTATTAAATACGGAAGAGAGTAACTTCTACAATAACCCAGAAAAATTTTAGATGGTCACTAAAATGTACTATTTAGCTAATGCTACACATTATTCGGTCAAATTTTCTAGAAATGCATGACAAAATCACGGCGGTTAATGTTTAATTTAGCTAATATTTCCACCTATAGAAGATGCAGCCCACATCAATTTCCTATTTTTTCAACCCATATTATCAATTAATCAAATCAATTTTGATAAACAAGAAGGAAAGGACAATGCAATTCACCAAAATCATAAAATTCAAAAACAACATACCAAAATTAGAAGCAAAATAAAATAACAATATGAAAAAACAAAGAAACCCATGTTACAAATCCAATCAAATCAATTATGCAATCACAACAAAACACACTAAAATCAAGAAAGAACAAGACAATAAAAAATTGCTAAACAAAATTATTTAATTTTTAGTTTATATTACCTCTTGGGAATGAAGAGTAAAGGGAGTGAAAGTAAGAGGAGGACCATGACAATAAGGACTAATACTTGTATCTTTACAAAGCTTAGCGTACGCTCTTGGGTATCCAAGGCTTTGATCCACTACCATATCTTCCTTACCAAACGCGTACGCCACCGACATTTTTGTCGAATCGAAACGACTCGAATCGAGAGCGGTGGATGAGGAGGAGGAGAAGGATGAGGGAATTAGCTAGAACAGAAAGTAAGACAGAAAGAGTTAGAAGTGAAGTAAAAAGATGCAGAGGAAGTCAAGTATTTTGAGGAGAGAGAGTAAAAGAGTAACGGTCAGATTGATGTTTCAAAAAGTGGTTGTGGGATGTAACGTGAAATTTGATAGATAGCGGTGGGATAGTGTAACGGCTAGATTTTGTGACCCGGCTCAGAGAATTTAATATTGGAATTATTACTCATTATTTTTGTTTTCTTTATATACTTCCTTTTAGTTTTTTTATTGGAATCTTTCTTTTATTTATTTAATTAATTAATGTGGGGTGGGGGGTTACATCAGAAGATTAGTGTGGACAAGCTGGTTGGTACTAGTATTAATTAGGCAGTTGTGTTTTTTGAAAATAATTAAATTAGCGTAAAATTATACAGTTTTTGAGATATTATACTCTACTAGTTTTTGAAAATTTTCATCTTTCCTAATATAAGTTACATAGACAAATAAAAATAATTACTTCCTCTGTTTTTAGCTAATAAATTTTCTCTATTCTCTTATATCATATGGGCTCTCCGCCTCACCTTATTTTATTCTCTATCTTTCTCTATTCTAAAAATTGCCTAGAAGCTCGTGATATCAAAATTGTTAGGAAATAAGGGTGTAATTGTGTTTGATTAATGCGGAACAAGTCAATGAAACACAAGAATTTATGTGTTCTGTCAAATTAGACCTACATCCACGGGTGGGGGATTCGAGAGCTTTTTCACCATAATGGAGAGAGAACGAGAGAATAATGCAAGGAGTCCTAAATCTAATGGCTCAAAAGGTATGATCTAATTGATCAGCTAAAGGGTCCTTTTATAACACAAGAAAACCCTAGTAAAAATCCTAAATTGTTCCCCAAATATACTCAAATAGCCGTCATAAAAAAGATATAGTTTTAGGTTATATCCCATAATTTATCCTAAAAGAATAGCTCGGTAGCCAGCTCAAGCCCGCCGCAAGTCTTCAAAGGGCCGAGCTATAGCTCACTCGCCTAGAGCTATAGCTCGCCTGCTCGTCGTAATTTTCCAGCTTCATCAGGTTTCCGTAAAACGGCCATAACTTTCTCATTCCTTAACGGAATTGGGCATATGACCTACTGTTGGAAAGATCTTGAACCAAGTTATCACCTCCAACATGAATCACCTCATAATCACTTGTAGTTTGAGAGATATATGCATTCAAAATCAGCCCCACTAGATTTTGAGTCACAATTTAACAAATCTCCACCTTGACTTGAAATCGACCAAACAAGGTAACTCCACCTAGAACCAAAAACAAGAAGTAATGCTCATAAGAAAACATAGAACCTCCACCTTAAACAAAATTCCATAAGCCTACTCACATTAGGCTATCAACAAAACGGACATCTTCATAACTTGTGAACCACTGCGTCTCCAAACACAAAATTCCGTACACAAAACCATCACATGGCCTAGATTGAGAGTATAATGTCCCGACGCCAAGCATGCTTATCAAAATTGACCAAACTCTCTTCAATCACTTCTTCATCTCAAAACCAAACTAAAAAACTTAAGGAATTCTAGAAAATAAAATTACATCAAGAATTTCTAAATTGCAATTGTACTTAACAAATCATAAAAGTACCAAAATTGAGATAAGAAATAGCATAACTAGATCAAAAATCTAATGCATAACCAAGAATCTAAAACAACCTTCTAGAAGATTAAGATAAATCCCGATGGTTTTAGAAATATAACGGACCCTCCACATGATCATTGGTTCCGCATATAAAGCTTGGTTTGGACCCAATTTAAAATTTTGGCCATAACTTCCTCGTTATAACTCGGATTTGGGCTTATAATATATCGTTGGAAAGCTCTTTTTCAAGCCCTATCCAACTACACAATTATTGGACCCAGATTATGGACCAAAATAAACTGGTTTGGACGTTTTTCATAAATAGGACACGAAATGAACAAATCTAAGGACACGAATGAATGATTTTAAATTA